TTGATGGCTACTTATTACCAAACAAAGAAATATTAATTAACCATATTAAAATAACCAAATGGTTATCTAATTAGACTATAAATCTAGATTTTGGCAGATAATGATGCATCCAAATAGTAGAGAATTTACCGCATTTAGTATACCACAAGGATAATATCAATGGAATGTAATGTCTTTCAGATTAAAAAATGCCCCACAAATATTCCAAAGACGAATGGATACTATTTTTCGATAATTATCACATTTTTTTGCTCAAATATGTAGATAATATATTGATATTTAGTCAAACCATTACCAAACATTTGAAACACTTGAATTTGTTCTCTTAGAAAGCTCAAAAACATGGAATAACATTAAGTAAGAAAAAAGTCGTCTTGTTAACAAATGCTATTGCTAGGATTCATAATAGATAAAGGATTCATCTAATTACAAGAACATATCTTAACAAAAATAAACTATTTTAAAAAAATAAATAACCAGAAAGATTTGCAGTAATTTTTATGGTGTATTAATTATGCAGAAGCATTTATTAAAAATCTCACCGAATTAAGAACCCCTCTACAAAAGAAGTTGAAAAAGACTTTATCTTAGTATTGGAATGAGAAAGATGAAAAACCCTACATCAAATCAAAGAACTATATATAAATCTTCCAAAATTACATTTACCTATATCAGGAAATTATTTAATTATATGAACAGATAGTTCCGAGATAGCATGGGGAGCAATTTTAAAAGGCAAATGTAACAATACTAAATTTCTATGTAGATATAGTTCAGAAACATATATCCCCACCAAACAGAATTATCATATTAATTAAAAAGAATTATTAGCAATAAAGAAAGCAACAAAAAATGTTGAAATATTCCTAAATGAAAAATTTTTAATTAGAACACATAATAAAAAATAAATTTAAATTTTTAAAGGTAAAATTGTAGACTCTTTACCAAATAAAAGATTAATTAGATAACAAAGTTAGTTTTTTGCTTATACTTTTAATGTAGAATACAGTGAAAAGAATAAAAAATGCTTTAGCTGATATACTAACAAGAGATTTATGTAGGAGATAAATATGGACATTGAAAGCATGAAGACATATGAAACAACCAACGAGATGGAAGAAAAGTAGATTGCAGACATAAATAATTACTTAGAGATTGTTGATCTAAATAATGATATTGGTAATTTGGTTAGCGAGTTGTTGGAAAGCAAGGCTAAGCTCAGCGCGGCCTGATCACCGGAATTTGGTTATGCAGGTGATTGAATAATTTCTTATGATATTCAACTAATTAAGTTAAGGGGCTTACTTTTTGCATTATATGTTTTATGAGGGAAAAATGTGTAATATTAATAATAAAGATTCAATATTAAATATAAAATATTAAAGACTTCAATAGCATATATATGAAATTTCATATAAATTTCAAATCTAAGAATAGTAAATCAAATGACAGAATATCTGACTTAGGTTATAAAATCGAATGCAAAACCTTAAACCCATTACACATTATTTGCATGTTGACCAACAATCTAGGAGATTCAAACTAAATCATAAACTAAACTAACAAAAAAATATAATATATCAAACTCACTGAAATAAATTAAAATGCACCAACCTAAACAATTAAAACCATACGTATGAAGATCAACTTTGAACCATATGATAGCCAACTTAAAGGTAAAACTTTAAATCACACATACTTTTTGAATATACTAGTATAGGAGCGTACATTGGACTACTAGGTACCCCTAGTTGGTGCTAAAAAGTAGGCCATACAAAACACTAAGCTTATAACTCCCTTAAATTATGTATGTTCCCTTGAATGAAGTAACGTATACTTACTGATGAAGGCACTTCCAACTACCTAATATTTAAGAAGGTCTACCTTCGCCATCATATGGTAATTAATAGTCTAAGGCAACCAACAAACTTTAGATGATGGAAAGTTGATTGAAACCTGATTGGGGGCTTGATACCCAAATTTTAAGTTAGTCAATCTATTTACCCACCTTATAGAGTCTGAAATTTTCTTAGGGCTAAGACCTCAACTTCCATCTAGAAATCATTCTAACCTAAATCCACACAAACCTTTTATTCCAAACCTTCTACACAAACTCTTAATTCAAATAATCCTTCAAATTAACATTCAAAACCTTTAAATTAGAACATTTCAAATCAAACCTTTACTTCAAACCAATCAAATCAAGCTATTAAAATCAAACCTTCAAATCAAATTCTTGAAGTCAAACCTTTAAACCAACCCATTTCAAATTAATGTTCAAATTAAAACCTTCAATCCAACTCTTTCAAACTAAATTATTTTTAAGTTAAACTCCAATCAAATGAAACCTTCTAATTAAACTCAAACCCTTAAAATCCAACCTTTCAAGTCAAAGCATAACTTTTATAGCAATTTTCCAATCTCAACCCCTAGTGTAAACCTTAGTTTTTAAGTTGGTTATTCTCTTTTCCGGACCTTTCAACGACACAATGTCATTGAACTTTAAATTATATCTTTGAATTCCAACAAAATCTTTTCAAATCCTGAAAAACTCTCATTTGAAAAATAACTTCAAATCTTGAAGCTTTTCATTTAAAAAGACCAACCTTGAAATTCTGCATAATATAAGTCAATACTTTAATTGACAATTTTCTCAGAAATCCATAGCTCATGGGATGTAATTAACTATGAGGATTGTCCTTGTAAGGATACCATACCCCCCAACATAAAATAAACTCTATCTTACACCTATAAATTAGGGGGGAATCTGTGGTTAACGCAGACATATAAATTTTAAATATTTTTTCTCATCGAAATGATTAAGGGCCTATTTGGGGCAACTGCATTTTTTCAGCTTTTCAGTTGCTGTTGTGGTACCCCCAAGAAGCTGTTGTGGAAAAGTTAGTTGTCTGTTTGCTACAACTATGTGAAAACGGCTATGGGGCAGCTATTTCTGAAAAATGACCATTTAAAGTTACATTTTTGCACATGCAAAGAGCATTCAATTGCATTAAAATTACATGTCTGCAAAGCTATTATTTTTAGGAAATATGTTTCATGAAATTTTGGAGAGGACTTTGCACATGCGAAAGAGCAATCAATTGCAGAAAAATATTTGACTTTATTTTTTTCAAGTGGAAAACATATGTATAGATAAAACTGTTGATGATGATAATATAGAGCATAGGCTCTTTCCTAGGTGAAAGGACAAACTACGAAATGATGATTACATGAGTTTCAAGTGCTGCTTAGAATAAAATGGCACCATATATAATGGAGGATTATCTAAACTTCATCTTTTTAGAGAAGAGTTAGTTAAAAGCTAAGAGAACTATTGCAGCGCAGAAAACACATTTTCTAGGCACAAGGAGTCGAAGCGACAAGAAAACTCAACAATTATTAGAATGAAAAATATTTAATTAAAATAGAAAGTGAAGTTACTTTAATTGTAATTTTCTTTTACTTTGAAATATTGTGCATGCCTTAATTGATGAAAGTTTGTCATTAAATTTGATGCATTTAAACTTTTTAAGTGAAATCTATAAATTTATTAGGTGTATTTATAAAGTTATGAGGAAAAAATTAATTATATAAAATCATGTAACCATTTGAGCCGGCCAAATAACAAGGTAAACAACCCCTAGCCCTACATGGCTCTTATTAATTGCATGAATGAGTTTAATTGCTTGTTGAATTCAAAATTTGGAATCTCTCTAAGAATGTGAAGGCTTGGTAGTTATCTCATGTTAGGAGACTTAGATGTTCTTCTCAAATGACTCTTTGGTGATTGATATTTATTTATTTTTATTTGCACTATTGTTTTACTTTCTATGAAAACCTTGTGCAGCATCCCCATCTTTGCATAATTTTTCAATTTTTTTCCCCAAGAAAATGATAGTCAAATCTCACTCAGTGTTGCTGACCAATGCATATCCTAATCAAAATCAAGTCTTGCTCTTCGAGGCTTTTGACCCATCGAAATCATCTAAACATTTAAGATCAACCCCATATCTAATCTAAAAAAATTCCACAACAACTTTTGTGAGATCTAATTTTTCCTCATGCCCTAAAACTATTTCAAAACCAAAATATTTCACTTTGAGTAATGCAAATTAATTTTATACATTAACAAATTTATTTCTAAAATCTCAAAAATTATTAACATGCCTCTAAAATATTTAAATTTTTAAAAAACTAGCCAGATTCATTCTTGGAATATTGTTTAGTTGTTCGAGCTCTCGAATTATACATATTCTTCACTATAAACTTCAATAGAAAACTAGGTTTCTACTTTCAGGAAACTTTTTGCTTACGATTGATAGTAACTTGGGTCTTTTTTTCAATAATTTAACACAAACCTCCTAAATCTCCTGTCACACCTTTTAGACCTTCCTAACCTAAGATATTCACTTTAAGATAAGCCCAAGGTACCGGCTACCACATAATCACCTTTCAGAGATAATTGAGAAAACTAAGTGATCGAAATGTAGATGCATGCCAAGAAAGAACATGAGGATTTTCATATAGTACTTCTATTTCGTTTAGCTTCATTTACATCCCAAACCACACCTACAAAATCCATACCCTTTGAATATGTGTAGCTCTTTAAGGTGCTACTTTCAACAATCAAATTTGTTTCAAACCTATTTCTCAACGGTCCCATTTGACGGTTTAAACCGAGAAAATAAATGAACTGACATTAGAGCATAACTAGAAATCATTGCTGACATAAAACTCCAAAAAATACAATTTAAAACACTTAAACAGGCTGGTTTGTTCCCATATAAAATTAGTTTAAGCAACATCATTAATTTCTAAAACATATTTCATATTTGAATGCAGCCAGATAAGTCCAAACCCCCACTTCCATTCTGTCAACAGATAGCATTCATGTAATTGTCTCAACAAAATAACCGTCTTCCTCCACAGTTGGCACCTTGTTATTCTGTACATGTTTCTATTTCTATTCTTATTTTTCTATCAAGAGGAACTTCAAACACTTGATACAATCATACAAAAATCAAATTGAAATCCACTTAATTAACTCAATCACACACTTCCCAACCAAAAGGGTATTATAATCAATCAAGTGGAGTTCAATTTATTTTTTTATGCAGAGCTTTTATTACTATTTCACACGCATTGCTCTTCATTATGTTACAATTCTATGCATTATTTTGCTTTATAAAATGCTCACGCCCTCTCTCTTATTTATAAACACAATATTATGGAAATTTCCAACTCAAGCGATTTTCTTAGCGCGGTAAAAGGAAACAGAGGAATCATCTCTCTTTGATCCCTCAGGCTTCCGCGCCCATGCAGGTGCCTGATCAGGTCCATAACGGTAATCATAAAAAAGCTCCTCACCGGCTTCAATATGCTCTTTAGCATAAATTCCAACACGGTGATCTCCAGCGACCAGCATTACCTGAAAACCCCGGTTAACAAAATTAATAATACTAAGTTTTACACGATTACTTTGGATTGAAGGAATTAGAAATTACAATTAAATGAAGATAGTGAAGTGTATTGAAATTAGCTTCATCTCTTGTTTGGTTGAGGAGACATTACAACAACAACAACAACAACAAAGCCTTAATCCCACTACGTGGGGATGGCTACATGAATCCTTTTTCTCCGTTGCGTCCTATTTAGTGTCATATTTTCATTCAGTTCTAATAAATTAAGATCATTTTTTATACAATAAGCCCAACGCTTCCTAGGTCTACCTCTGCCTTTTTTAACATAAGTCAAATCTAAAACATCTACTCTCCCAATCGGATCATCAAATGGTCAACGCTTACTGTGACAAAACCATCAAAGATGAATTTTTCAATTTTGTCCGTCACAGGAGTTACACCAACCGTATCACGGATATATTATTGACACTAAGTGAAATTATTTCTCATTTGATGGAATATTGATTTTGTTTTTCACACTTAAAATGAGCAAAAATTGGAAATCGCTGTTTGAATCAAACATCAAATATGGCATTATTAAATAAAAAAGCATTTGTTTTGCAACATACCTTGGCATAGCAATTTGGGTTGGATGAATGATTTGCGAACTTCAACTTGTCACCCTTACGATAAGCATCCAATACAAACTACAAGCATGAAAGTTTAAGTGAATGATTCAACATCAAGAGAAACAAATATCAGATCTTAATTTATCAAAACCAATTGCTCAATAAATTCTAGGAAGATATACATACATACCACTCAATTCCTATCTTTTTACCTAACATTTAAACTATAATTTTTACATACATACCATGTTATTTATGCATGAAAAGGTGTATTTCACTTTTTAAAACTTCAAACCGTGATAATTTTTATGTGATATAAATGTAAAATTTAAAATTTAAGTGTTGCATATGTAAATACATAGCAATTGGGTGGTTTGTATGTAACTGCCCCTAAATTGTAAATTGGCAATAAAAGCTATGCATATAAAAACTTATTTTTTCCTTTTTGTATCTATGTGTATGAGAGGGAGAGAGATTTGCACCCAACCATGAGCACACCTGATCATTTAAATCAAAGAGAAAAGATGAGTTCGCTCTATCATATATCTTCCCACGTTTGTCTGCTTCCTTGTGGGAGATCAATTCGCCAGTGTATTCTCCAAGATAATCATTTTTGTTAACAGGGTTCTGAGGTGACGTATAATTGTTACAAACATGATAAAAGGTAATTGAATTAAAGTGATATTGCAAACTTCGTACCCTTATAAAAGCACCCCATCCAGCAACATCAGATCTCGATAATAAAATCTGTAATTAAGGTGCAGGTTGCAAAAATGTAAAATCAGTACAAGCAGAAAAAAAACTATTATACAATACATAAATATATAGAGGTATATATAAGCAGCCTTACTCTCTGTTGCTGCTTTAAGAGGAGCTTCATGTTTCCGCACTGATAACCATCACCCGCAGATTGTGGTTCATCAAGCGAACCATCTCCACAGCTGCCGACAGTCATGTTAGAAAAGAAGCCTTTTTTTCTTCTTTTTTTGATCTTATTGGGTGAAGTATTTTGATTAGTTAAGCAATGAAATAAATGAAAATTATTTTTATCATAAAAACATGGGGTATCGAGTATTTAAAAAGTTTAAAAAACAGCATTCTTGAAAAAACTTCGCTATATACCATGGGTGTCACTTGTCCTCAACAGAACAGATATAGGTTTAGCAGACTAGAATCAATCAAGTATATCAATCTCAATTTGGGGTCAATGAAAAGATCGATGGCTTCTTTTCTATCATAAGATAGAAAAGTACACTTGATAAAAAATTGTCATTTGGATGAAAAAAAATATCCAGATTTTTCTCTGCTACAGTATTAGAGTTAGAAAAACTCTTTTTTAAAAAATAGAATACAAATTGTGGTTTATAAAATAGAAATCGAAAAAAGTTTACAGAAGAAATAGAAAAATGCGTAAGCCTATCAAATGAAACCATTGAGCTCAAGAAAGTAATGAAGCTAGATCACTCAAAATGCAAAGGGAGAATTCACTCGTAGGAGAGAATGTTTGACCATCAAGAATTCATCTTCTTGTTTTTCGGTTAAGCCAACTGACCGCAAAAATGAAAGACAATGTGCATGGGAAGATATTCTAGGAAGAAAAGCTAATAACAAAAAAAAAAAAAATCACAAGTTTTCATTGTGTAGCATCTAACGAGGAGATGACATTCAGGCAAAAGACGATAAAATGCATTCCTCCCCCCCCCCCCCCCCCACCCCACAATCCAGAATTTCATTTGGCGTCATAAAAAAGTTGTATCAAATTTCAGTGGAGTAAATTGGTGAGAAGTCTTCTTGTGCAGTCCATTCATTGAGACATAAATAACAATGCGTTAAGTCCAAGTGCCTAGATCGAAGGAAATAAGAGAGAGAAAGAGTACGTTTCTAACTGGAGAAGCCCATTCACTGCCGCTGAAATTCTTTTGCTTAGGCCTACAACTAGACTTCAAAATACAATAATAAGATGCCTAAGGATCATCAACGGGCAAATAAATCACTCTGACAATTTCAGAAATGTTTCCGATTAGTATAGTGTTAAAGGAAAGAGACATAAAAACTAATATTATCTATATTTACCACAACAAATCCTCCAATAATCAATAGCCAACACAAATAATATTACTATCAAATTCCACTCCACATAAAGCCAATGCTTGTTAAATATCCAAATATCCATTTACTCGATCCAGGTCACTCATCAAGGAAATTTAATGTGCTTGAGACTAATTTTCAAAATTAAATAGAACAGATGGTTTTTAATTCCGACAAGTAATTTATAAACACGAAAGTGCTATAAAGACGGGGTTAGGGCTGTAAAGATAGGGTCAGGCTTGGCTGATGTTCGTCTAGTTCGAAATTACTCGTGTTTAAAATCGGCTTGTGTTCAAAATTGGCTCGTGAACAGTGTGTTCGTGTTCGACTCGATTTAAATATTCTTGTTCGTGTTCGACTCGAAATTGGATTATTAAAATTGTTGTAGTGTTGGATTCGAATCTAGGTCAAATTTATGCAAAAGAAGACAACTAAATTACCATACGAGCTGTTATGATTTAAACCTAGATATAAATATATAAAATATATTATTATATAAATAATATATATAATATATTATTATATAAATAATTATATGATTTTTCTTATTTCGAGCTAAAACGAGTTGAACACCAGCGAACAAAGAGGTATTTGTGTTCGGCTCGTTTATAATTCGAGCTTAAAAAAATTGTTCGTGTTTGGAACATGAGTTAAAAACATGCAAAATACATTCATTTAAAGTGTAATATTATTAAAAATAAGCATACAAATGTATATGAAAAAGTAGTTTTTTTTTTTTTTGTATTAAAATCTCCCAAACTTAAATGTTATTTGTCATCAAGTAACGCTATAACTTTTAAAACTAAAATTGTTAACTTGTGGTTGTGGGTTTCTTTCAGATCACCTATAATCCAACTTGGAAGAATTTCTAGTATGGTGGATGATGTTTAAGGTATCAGAACATTTAGTATTAAATTTATGAATACTGATTTTCTATTTAATTCAAACTTAATTGAAATTTTTCCAAACTTTGGATTTTTAGAAAAATATTAATTTCAGAATTTATGAATTCTATATTGAAAACAATTTTTACTAATACTTTCTGACATTAAGCATTGGATTGATCTTAAGTTTTCTTATTTAGAAAGATTCAAATGAAATCAATTTTTAATTAGGTCCCATTCCTCATGCTTCTCTTTCATTTTTCATACTTTCTTTTTCTTTTTCTTTTTCTTTTATTCTTTTTATTTTTCTTTTTCTTTTTCTTTTAGAATCTTTTTAATCCTTACTTTTTAAGGTGAGGATTAGTATATCTGGATATACCTTTAATGAATTTGAATTTCACTATCCCTTTTCTAAAGTTAAAAACTTATTTTCTTTCCTTAACTTAAAATCTAGTATTAGTTTTTGAAAAAGAATTTTTATAGAATCTAAATTCCTTAAAAAGTATTATTCTAAAAATCTTTAATTTTTCAAAAATTCAATTTTTCCTACTATAAATAGTAAAATCATTTCCCTAATATTTTCTACTAAATATCTTAACTTTAGTTTCATCCTTTTTACTAACTTTTCTACTAAGTTCCCTTATATCATTTCTAAAAATCAGAAGTTTAGTATCCTAACGATAACACCACATACCACATGTCATTTTAAAAAGTGATATTGAATTAAATACAAGCTACTGATGACAAATAAAGTTTAACTTTGAAAGTTATTTTTCTTTCTTCCCCCAAACTTAAATTTTTAAATATTTTTCAATCAATTCTATAAAATGTACCACGAAGAAAATGTAAAAGTTGAATTTACTATTTACTAGAATATCCTATCGAATTCATATACATGCATAATCAGGATAGAAATACTACATGAGAAAGCAAATCTAGCCTAAACCATACTTGCAATAATATTAAACTAAAAGGAAGTGTACTAACTTTGAAATTTATTTTTCTTCCTCCCCCCAAACTTGATTTTAAAAATGTATAACATTAAGTGTAGAAAATATAAGTAGGAAGAAATATAGTTTAGAAATTTTAACTGTCGCACATGCCTATCAAAAAAATCTACAATTATTAATCAGGATAGAAAACATGTAGCAGAAAGTAAATATAAAATAATTATAAGTTTTGGTTTTCATTTTTATACCAAGGGGGTTTTTTAATAGTCAGGATGAGAAGTTAACTATGGGAGGAGATTCTGTAAGTGTCCCATAAATAGAATACTTGACGATTGTAAATGTTTTAGATGGGTAAATGATAGTCAAGTAGCATAACAGGTATCAACAAGAGTCTAAGTAGCATAACAGGTATCAACATAGGAATATAAAAATATTCTTCAAGTCCTATATAAAGCTGTAAAACAAAAACAAACATAAAATACAAACACAAACACACATGATAAATGGAGTTAATTCATCCTTCAACTCATCGCATCTCATTACCTTACTTCCAATTTCTAATGGAATCACTATACAAATATATTAAGTGTATTCCATGAATTTTATATGGTTATCCACATGGACAAGATTGCCCCTGTTAAGTTGGTTCGCGAACAACGAGCTTTTTTGACAACCCTAGATAGGCAGCCCTCGGATTGCAATTTGTGCTTTCTTATAGGATTGTTGGCCACTAATTGTTTCTCTTTTTTTTCTTTTTTGATTTATTCTTATTTTTTAATACCACTTGAAGATGCAAGTATACCTCCCCTCTTTTACAAAGAATGTAATATGAATTAAGAGATTTTTTTCCCATTATTTATTTTCTACATAATATCGTGGTAAAGTTAAGGTGTTTCTTTTGGGCTTTGTTTTTACTCTTTAAAGTAAGGATTTACACTTTCAATAATATTACTCTTACTAAATGCTCATTCAATATGTATGCGCTTTTTGCCTTCCCTTCAAAAGAGTCGATCATGATTAATGGTGAAAACCAAATCAAAATAAAAATTTAGATGTTTCAAGCATCTTATCAACTTATTGCTGGAACAAGAAACTACCTTAGATCATTCCAAATCATTAAGAAATTTCTAAATAAAAAGAAAAAATAATATAAAACCTTCTGAATCTTCCTCCGAAACCAAACGTCCCGAAGCTTTTATTTTAAGAAGAAACTAATTTTATAATCATGACATGATAATAAAAACACCATGCTACCTAAGGTCAATGAGCCTTTAATATTTCTCTTCACCGGGTATGCAATTAAATAAACTTACTCATAAGTGAAGATATTGCACTCATCTATGAAATCAAGATAAAACTCACCACCACAAAACAAGATAACCTTCATATCATTGAATGCTTTAATGTCATGAAGAATTGTTGGTTAGGGTTGGAAAACTAGCAAAATCTCATGACGTCGTGACTTGAAATGTGGTGATCTTTTATAAATTTGAGTGAGAAAATCTGAGTTTTCGACTCCACCAAATTCAAATCATATCATTGAATACTTTAATGTCATGAAGAATTGTTAGTTAGGGTTGGAAAACTAGCAAAATCTCAAGAAGTCTTGACTTGAAATGTGGTGATCTTTTATAAATTTGAGTGAGAAAATCTGAGTTTCCGACTCCACCAAATTCAAATCCAAAACTCAAGAAAAAAAAATCTCTAAATGAAGTAATATCTCGTGTACAAGGACAAAACAATAATAATAATCAATGATTTGGTCATTTAGATATGTTTTATGACAAGTGTTGAATCTCAAGTTAAGAAACTTTTTATTATAGAACTTTCTCTAAGAGAGAAATTTTTTTTCAAAGAAATTTTTTGGTGCAACTACTACAAACAGAATTATCACACTAAAGTCAAATACTAAAAACTTCACAGAAAGTCTCAAGATTACAGATGACGTAAAAGTGAAAATAAAAAAGATAGGTCTGCTTAGGAGAGCCAGAATGACTCGATTCAAAAGAGGTTAACAAA